TTTAGATTAACGTGGGTGTCCGGGCCAGCTTGCGCACACCACGACTAATCCCACGGGCCCTGAAGTTAACAACCATATAAGCCTCTAGTGGCCATCATATGAGCAACTAAGGACTTGAACCTGAGACCACAGAGAGAACAAACCCCTTAATCCCAAATCCTTACCACTTGACCACCACCAATCTCTAATATAATTTCTTGATGTCACGATGAGAAGCATGATTTCCATTCGATGATATCACGATGAGAAGCATGATTTCCATTCGAATTAATTGAGAGTCTTGATCGTGTAAGAAATTTTTTTTAAAAAATAGTTTACAAGTTTGTAATCCGTTGCGAATAAAAAAATATTGATCATCATAAAAAAAATATATATAAATAATAAAAAACTATTTAATATTATTATTAAATTTGACTTAACACATCAACTTTCAAATCTTATAATCCAACTTAATATTTAACTTGAATTTAAAATTAAATTTTATAAAAGTTGATTTGACGTAATCTAATCTACTTAATCAGAGTCAAAATACAATCCATTAGATTGGTAAAAAAATTCTAAAAATAAAATTAAAAATAAAAATAAAATTAACATAAAAATCTTTTTACCTAACTTTTTATCTAACTCAAATTTAAATTAACATAAAAACTTCTTGACCTAACTTTTTATCTAACTCAAATTTAAAATCAAACTACGTGAAAGTTGTTTCAATGCAACAAAGTTGACTCAACCATCTAAAGACAATCCCATTACTCAATAAAAATAATTTTAAGGATGAAATTAAGATAAAATTAACAGGAAATAAATCTCTCAATTTAACTTATTGTCTAATTTGAATTTAAAATTAAATTATATGAAAGTTGTTCAAACACGACTTAATTAATTTGACCTATTTAAAAATAATTCAGATGATTTTTTTTTTAAAATATATAAGGATGAAATAAATAAATAAAAAGGAAGATAAAATCAAAATAAAAATAAAGAAGGAAATGATAAAAAGGAAAGAGAGAGAGAGAGAATTGCACAGAAAAAAGGACGAACTTCATTGCAACAATGAAATTCCATGATATTTTTCAATTCTTTTAGTTATTGGCGAAAGCTCTATAATGTTTTTCAATTCTTTTAGTGGTATTATGTAATATTTCAGTATTTATTTTTTTAAATGCTACAAATTATATTTTAAAAATAATTTATTTATCGATAATGATCCGATCCTTTCTAGGAAATTAGCCCAGCTATAAATTTTTCGAGGGTTTATTTTCCGTTTGTGCTCTATCGTTATAGTGTTTCCAATGGTAAATTGTATTATCATATACTATACAAAATTAATAAACGTGGCCATTAAAAAAAGAAAGAGATAGAGAAAAAATAAAATAAAGAAAAGAGCCATAAACGTGGCCTCCGATTAGCCCACTTGATCCCCAGGTCCGTTTGTTGACTTCAAGCCTGAAAGTGGCACTGTATTACAGGGCCGGGCCCTTCATTGATGGAGAAAGCAAGCCAGCCACTGCAATACAAGCATGGAATCCACCAAATTAAACATTAAGAAAACATCACCATTTGTATTTACATACAATATATCACAACCTCATCTAGTCAAGTTCATACAGCAAACTTTCAACTGCCAAAGCTAAATCCATTAGTCTGGAATACTTATGTTGATGAGAAAATAGTTAGCATAAAACAGTCCAAACGAATTGTGCGATCATGCATGGCCCTGGGATTTTTTCTCATCCTCTTGTGAGGTAATTGGACTCGCTTCTTCGACGACACGAAAGATGCTGACATTCAGGATAATTGGGTAGTTCACCAGGTCCAGAGGCTCAAATACGCACACATCAAATTCATGCAATTTGTTGTCCAAGGCAAATTTCTTCCACCCAGCAGTCAGCCCTCCGTTATTACGAGACTTGTGATGGAAGAATCTGGTGTGCCATGCTCGATCTTTAAAACGTAGAATCACATCTTGATTTCCTTTAACGGGAAGATGTGTAACTAGCCACGCTGAAGGAATTGCCTGCATGAAGCAACAACAAATATAATAAACAAGATCAAAATTCTGCGTTTTCTATGCAATGCCAACTGTTGCAGCAATTAACATCATGAAACTCAAAACATAGAAGGGAAAAAAGAACAAAGGAATTACAAAGGGAAAAAAAAAGGCAACACATGATAGGAGGTAGGATACAAGTCAAGAAAGAAATGTTTACCACAAAGAATCTCCCATACACATGTGTGGGCTTCATGAGTATAAGGAAACCCTTCTCGGTTACGGCTCTTGCAGCCAATTGCATTGCATTCCTTTTCTCTTCCTCTGTTACTTTCCTTCCTTTCCTTGCATGGTGCACAGTATCCACTGGTTGGCCTAGGGGCTGAACATCTGAAATATTCATGAATTTGAACTATTGGAACAATAAAAACTCATCAATCTAACACTTTCGTGCATCTAGCAGAAATATACTTCATTAAGCACGTTAGGATCGCATGTTAGTGGACACGCCCTGAAAATAAATAACAAGATGGACCGGGATGTTTCCATCAAATGACAATACAAATAAGCAAATGGATTGACCTCGAACATGCTCTGCAGAAGACAGAAAGAAAGAGGTCTAGAGTGGAGCTCTAAAGTAGAAGATATAGTACAAGCAATCTTCTTAAGAACAAAAATGTGAAGAAACCTACCAGGTTCAGCCTCTATTTCCTCACGAGTAGAAGGTCCTCTACTTTTGACAACACGCCAGTATTGAACACGCCTGATTGACTTAATTTCCCTTGATATTTTCTTCCTACCAACTGGGGAGATAATAGGCTGCCTTAGTGGTGGTATCGTTGGTATCGTGTCAGAACCATTATATGTAAACTCCTCCTGTTGGGAACCTCCAACAACATCCTCTTCAGTGGCCTCAATTGACTTGATTCCCCTACAGATTTTCTTGTCAGTAACTCGGGGGACAATGGGTTGCCCAACTGGTATTGCATCAGTATCATTGTCTTTAAATTCCTCAGGTTGAGAACCTCCAACTACACCCTTAGGAGAGGCATGAACAACTTCAACAGAACTTTTAACAGTTTTTCTTTTTGTTCGACAGCCATTGCCACGTTCTGCAGATTCATATTTTTTGACTAAGTATGGAGCAACCTTCTCACACATGCTCTGCATATCGAGCATTAAGACATCGAAGTCCGACTCCCCATTGTACTTAAAGATCAAGAAATCATTCTCTTCAAGAGCATGGTCCTTGACAAATTCTTGCCAACCATGGTTGAAGAATAGGGTATTATTGTAGGTTGTTAGTCCAACTTCCCATGCAGCCCCACTAGGACCTTTAAGATTCACAGTATCAGGCAACTTCTTTCTCAGATGTCTAGCAAATATTTCAGGGATAGCCTACAATTCCATAAACAATTAGAACCTCCACCTTCAAGGAAAAATTGATGGATGCAAAGTAACAGAAATATACGAGCTGATTTCAATATCTCAACCACCCAAAAAAAATAAAATTAAATCTACAAGTTGGTTGCATTTTCGATTCTGGTTCTTCCAATAATCTATCAATTCATTATGCATCATTTAAAAACACCTTGATAAATAAATGCAAATCAATTTTTTATGAGCATAAGTATATATCTCTTGATCTACATAGAAGTTAAAAAGTCCAGAAGAAAAGGGGGGAAATATAAAATAAAAGTTTGATCATCATTGTTACTGGAACTAGTTTCACCAAATCAAAGAGGTATAATTTATAGAGTAGCTTGCAATGTAGACAAGATTATGAGATCACCCTCTAGTTACGAAAGAAAGCAAAACCCGGAAAGACTGAAGCAAAGAAGCTTACCAGGCGTTGATCAAATCCAGAATGGAGGAACTGAGAGAACTGTACGCACTGGAAATGGGTCCAATATATTTTCTCTTCCCAGCTCCTGCATTCCTTGCACGTCTCTTCTCCCATTTCTGCTAATATACGTAGAGCTCTAAAATCAAGATTCAACACAAGGCGTGAGTGAATTCAAGAACACATATTTGCAAACGTAATGCAAGACACCAAAGAGTTTCAAAAAAGTCAAAAACTTTCCCAAAGAAAAGAAGAGTGGAGAGGAGAGGACCCACCAAAATAATAGAAGAACGGGAGGAAAGCTGAGGTGTACCAGAGAAATGAATTATAAATGAAGCAGAAACAGAAAATTATGAATAATTTACTTTCCCACTGTGCTGCTTTGCTAGTAGTAATTATTTTTGTGAGAGTGATTAT